CTGGACTTCCAAGCATTAAGAAAGAGGTTGGCTCTTGCAGCCAGCTGTATGACAGACCGGCTCCCCGTACTACTCACCAGCAAAATATCGTCTGCCTAGTGCAGGTCAGTATAACACCTAGTTGGATAATCTGAACTGCACTTTCCCTCTAAAATGAGGCCATTATCTCTGCGTGGGTCAGCGCTGTTTAGCAAAAGAAAGTTGAGAACACTGTGGAATAGCAAATTGAAAAAATGTCTCCTTGATGAACTCCGCAATAATAGGCGACCGTTCAGGTAGCTCTTGTTCGACTTTGACAAGAGAGGGCTTTTGCATATACCACTTTCAAAAAGCACGAATCTTGAATGGAAGTAGAAGACGAATGAATTCAAACAACTCACTTCTCCGGAACTGCGATCGTGGTCCATACATGGTTGTCCGTCCTTCGGTGAAAATATCGTGTACCTTTTACCGAAAAAAATTTTGTCACGCTCTTTAAGGCGAAGGAATTGCCATCTGACGAACGAATCATAGTACGGATTGACGTCGGTAGTCAAAAAGGTACGCCGCCAGTCGACCTACTTTCATTGATCATGGCTCAAGTTCCGTTTAGCAATATCACAGCTTACTTTTACACCCATTGACTTCAGATGGGTAACAGCCATCGGTGGAAAATACCTCAGCCAATGTGCGGGATCACAAAACTTCCGGATTTCTTCGTTGGAAAGCTGCAATGACTTCATGATGTTCCACTGGTACTTGGAAGCGCCTGATTTCGCCACGGCTTTGCTCTAGAAAAGACAAACAGAGAAACGATTAATCTTATGCAACATAACAAGTCGGCGTTTTCTTAGTATTACCTTTTTGCTTTTCGTCTTGTCCCTGAACATATCTACATTGGATTCCGTGTCCTCGCCAGCGACCGTGTCTGAAGTGTTTTCGACCGGAAATTTTGGCGGAAAACCGAACCGCTCGATTTCAGTTTTCAATTTATCCGCACAAGCCTTTATGGGCATTCCCGTACAATGAAGGCCAAATGGAAACAAGCATTTTTTACCTAACAGGCGCTGATAACCCACAGCGAACTAAAACATGCGTAACAGTGAAAATACTACACCAATACACATTAAAGAGTACATTCAGATTCAACGCGTGATCGTTTAAAACTGTCGATTCATTGACTTCCTGACAAAGAACAATACCTATTGAGACCCCTAAGGCACGCAGTCAGGAAAGTTATTATCGTTCTGCGAATGTACTGTTATCTGGCCTTGGAGAAGTTAAAGGATTTCTGACATGCTACAGTGTAAAAACATTTTAATGTTTACGATGTACCATACAGCGAGTAGAAGCTCCTGGAATATCGCATGAAATGAGTACGAGATGACTCAGTCGAACAAAACCTATCTGGCACTGGAGGCACTCGAATAAAATGCAGTCTTAACCGATTTAAATGGTCCCTACATTTGATGCAAGTAGCAGCAAGAGTGCAATACAGTATGCCATGAAAACTTGTCTTACAGAAACTATATAATATCTAAGTATTATAACCATCATAAAAAAACGAACTTCGTAGTTTCTTCAAACCAGCAGTCGAAATGACTCCAAGGGTGTCACTGTTTACCTTCAATTCGAAAAGGCAGACGGTTGAAATCTTCGGCGATCCTTGCAAAACATCTTTTTCATCTTCAATGGCTGATTTTCCTTTCGGGTCGCGGAGACAGACGCGTCACACAGTTCTTCCAACGTTCTCGATCCTGTGCCAGAGTCTGAGTTTCGGCAGAAGACAACTGGAGTTTGGAACAGACTCCTTCCATATATTTGCACAAGGTTGTTCTTGGCCGTCACCTGAGCCCTTTGACGGTCCGTTTCGCAAGAAACAGTTGCCTAGCCTTCCTTTTTGGAAACATTCGCAACACATGGCCAAACCATCGCAGCTGTGATTTCTCAATCTGTAGAAGCAAAA